CTGGATGCAAGTGGCAAGCTTTTTCCAAAGTCAAAGTCTTAATAATTAATTTTAATTGGACTATAAAGGCACTATTGAACGTCAAAATAAAATATTGTAATACTAAAAATGTCAATCTGTCGGTCAGTCCTCTAGAGAAGCTATTTGCTCGTTCCAAAGTGCTGCTGCCGTCTGACGTGGAAGACTAAGGGTCCATTGTTCATCAGAGGACTGTCTTCTGACTGATGTTGATTCCTGTCTTAGCAACATTTATCTAGTCTGTCCTTCGGTGATAAGGATCTTAATGTGTTCTAAAAATATTTGTTTTTATTTTACAGAAAATCAATTCGCAGAGGGTTTTAAAATGGAACCAGCATCGGAAATTGACAAACTTTATCATAAAAATGAAAAAGGTGAAGATGAAAAAGAAGAGCAAGAACAATAATATTAATTACTTTGATGCAAAACCTAGGTCCAATAGAATTGTATGTACGCGGTTAACCCCCGAAAAAATGCACGAAATTGAAAAATGTGAGATGAAACATTTTAAATTTCATCGGAAAGGTCAGAGAAAATAATATCTGAGCGAAGACAGGATGGATCACCAGCTATAAAATATGTGAAAGCTAAAGATGTAATCTACCCAAGATAACAGCTTGGGTAGGATTAAATCTTTAGCTCTTGGACGCGTCTGCATAATCAGGCACACTGGCACCTCATTTCAAAGAGCCATCAGACCACCACAGATGGGGCCCAACACCACAGGTCCCAAAGTCAAAGCAGGAGTTGAAACGAGCTGGTTCTTAATCATTTACAATACCGATGATAGTGGAGTATTCGCATTCAACAGTTTTCTGTCAGTAGAAGAGTCTGACAGAAAAAAAGGCACATAAAGCTATACAGAGCCAGAATAAGCTGACCATGATTGGTGTATAGCTTGGGGTGTCGACCCTTTTTTTCAAATGCCATTGTGAAAAAAACATATTGCTATGATTCGTCTGATGAGAACCCAATCTTCAAACGACCTAAAAATGACAATGAAATTAAATTTTTACTTATAATAAGTACATCGACTTCAACTTTTCATCATCATGTCAGTCATAGGACGTCTACTACTGAACGTAGGCCTCCCCCAATGACTTCCATCTAGACTGGTTGGAAAGCGACCTCCAGCGGCTCTCTGCGACCTAAATCAGGTCGTCTGTCCACCTTGCGGGTGTGTGTCCGCGCGTTTGCCGGTATGTGATCTCCACTCAAGAACCGGTCTGCCCCAGCGGCCGTTGATTCTCCGCGCTATATGCCCTGCCCACTACCACCACGACTTGCTAAAACCTTTGCGAAGGTATTCCATACCATCGTAACAATCAAGTGGAAATTTTAATAATCTAGCTTAAAGTCAAGGCAGGGAAAACTGTTTTCTACGAGTTGCAGTAATTAGGTTACTTTTTCGTTAAACTTTGCGTTTTTAAACATTTTTTATATATGTGTACGTTTTAATAGACTGAGAAAATATTTCCTGATATTGTATAGAAAATAATATTGTTTAAATGACGCCGTCCTTTGCATTTAATATGTATGTTTAAATGTATATTATTACCAATTTAGTTCTAATAAATATAAGTTTTTTTTTTAATTGTGTTTATTCTTTTACGAATCCTTTAGTTTTTGTTTATTTCTATTCGAGTATAAGTTCAATGTCATAAAATATATCCAAGTGCATTTTTTGAAAATTTCTTAAAACAAAAATATTGATTGGAACCTACAACTAGATATTAACATCAACAATAAGGCAAATAAAACTGTTGACATTCAAAAGTGCCTTCCTGGTTTAGTTACAATAAATGATTTTGATTTTGACTTTAAAATATTATCCTATCACCCTGTATATAAGATAAAACTAGACAACACATCAATCATAATTAAAAAAACAATAAAAAAGCTGCTAAGTACGTATTGTTCAGTCAAACCCATAGTAAACTGTAGGCGGCATCATCATATTATCAGCCGACGCCGTCCATTGTCCAACATAGACGCGTAAAGTAAAAGTCGAATTTTTTCCTCTACCGTGAAACTCACACCAAGATACTGAATGATTTGAGGATCACAGGGATTCTGATAATTTAATTGTAGGAGAGCCATGCCGTCTCGAGTGACACCTCGGCCTCACAGTGAAACAACGCTTGCGTTGTGTTTTCTCGTGTGAGTGAGGGCAGTGGTGTCCCAATTACCTCCCTTCCCAATTTCCCCAATACCTGAATCGCCAACAATCCTCAAATTCCTAGTCCCCAAAAGGTCGGTAACGCAGTTGTAACGCCTCTTGTGTTCCGGGTGTCCATGGGCGACGCCAATTGCTTACCATCAGGTGATTCGTCTGCTCGTTTATCCTCCTATATTCCAGAATAGCCTAGCTGATCCCCGAATTATTCTGAAACTTGATGAACTTTTGGTACTAGTCCCTCAGAGAGTCGATCGCCCAGCCAACGCGCCATTTTCATTGATTACAAATACAATCATGAAAATATTCTGTGTGTCTGTGTTTATAATCGTTATAGTGGAATCATTACATCTGCCATTGTCAGAAGAGAAAGAAGGATTGTCAAAAGGGACGGTAATAGCAAATATGACGTCACAACTACACCCAATTCAGGTGTGGACAAATTCTCGGAACTGGACTACGCACGCGCCTTCAAAAGTGGTGAAAAATGGTATTTATTTTCATTATCTATACTTTTATACCAATATATAAAACTGAAGACAATCTTTTTCGTTTGAATTCGATAATAATAATTTTACTTAACGCTTACCACAAAACCAGATGGTGGCCATCCTAATAAAAATCAAATAATCTGCGGATGCTATAGATGGGAACTAAATAATTATTAATAATAATTGGTATTTTTGTTCGTATTAATTATATCAAAATGCTATTATTGATTTTGTAATGTATTGTGATTCTGTAACAATAGTTTGGTCATTTTTTGTAGGTATTAAAATTATATATTTCCTTGCTGTGCCAGACTGGGTCCACAATGATCTGTATTTTTCTATGTTACCACTGTAGTAGTACCTAAGGTGTGGTAGTAATAAGTATACATACACGTGTAATCCTTTCCTATATAACCCAATTTATTATTATAATAAAGGCAGTCTTAATTCATCATTTGATCGTTTTACTCATCTCCTGGCATGCGCCTTACAT